TTTATAATTATTATAATATATCTTGTTATATATGAACATCTTGACTTGCTGGTCTGTCATCTCTATTTAATACTTCATTATTTCTAATGTTTCTCTAATATTTAATGCTATAATACAACAAGATTGTGCAAAAATTAAAGTTTTTTCCAATAATATTGTATGCTGGTTAGTTTTTACATGTTTGGCAATAGCTGAGGTTTTTATATAACCTTTATGTTCTTTCAATCTGTATTTTAAATTTCTTTTAGTTTAACCAATATAAATACCATCACATTCACATTCTATCTTGTAAATACCTATTTTATCTGTTAATTCTATTTTATCTTTAGTATTCCCTATCATGTCTTATATCTTATTTATTGGTTTGAAGATAAGATAAAAATTCTGATACTTTTTAAATACTTTATATAATTGACTTGTTAAACCTGGAACATGAGAAAAACTTTGTTTTTTTCATAAATAGATCTTAATGTAGTATTTTAAGCTTATTCGTGGTACAGATTCTGATCTTTTGATCTTTCATTTGAAAAACATTACATAATTATCTTCCCTTTTACTAATTATTATTAATAAAAATTCAACTTAAGCTTCAGGATTATATAAATGTTATTCAATTACCTTTTTGATGACCTCCATACGAATATATGGTTCCAGACACAGGAATATGGTCATTATAGTATATATACGATACATACTAAAAAAATTACAAAAATAAAATATTTTAACAATATATATATATATAGTTATACATAAGAAAATCCTATAACTATAAAGTTTTAAAGGCTATCTGCACTTTCCTACATTTCTTATGTTAGATCATAGGATTACTCTTAGGAAAAACAAAAGTAATAGTAAAAAACTAGAGAATGGAATATTTAGTTCCAGAAACAAAAGTGAATATTTCATTCATGGAACTTGGATTATGTGGTTAATTTTTTGTTTGAAAAGACTAACTGATAGAAGAGTTGCATGAAAAGAAATACTCCACAAGCAACTATAAAAGGCTTAACTCAAGTTAGCTTTTACAAACATGCATTGGCATTTAAATCATATTTTCTTGGCTTACTTATACAAGTATCTTTCCTTTGGCCTCAGGAGATGGGATTTCGTATAGTGATGTTGACAGTGGTCATTGGGCTATATATTATCATAGTGATTCCCCCACCTTTTGCTTTTCCTAGCTACACCATACAGTACTTTGTTTTCCAGCAGCCTCACTCCCTCTGAATGTCAAGGAAGGCCTTCTATCATTGCCATTTTTGTCTTACTTGTGTATAGGAGGTCAATATCATGCCAGTAGTTTTGATATAGGGGCTTTTTTTGTCAGTTTGCTCATTAAGTTTTTTCCACTACATGGCCTGGCCCATATATCCAGGTAATGCTCTTACATTCAGTTTTATCCCTACACAGCCTGGCCCATGTATCCAGGTAACGCTCTTACATTCAGTTTTATCCCTACACGGTTGGACCCATGTAATGCTCTTACATTCAGTTTTAACCCTACACAGCCTGGCCCATGTATCCAGATAATGCTCTTATATTCAGTTTTATCCCTACACGGTTTGACCCATGTAATGCTCTTACATGCAGTTTTATCCATACACAGTGTGGCCCAAGTATCCAGGTTATGGTCTTATATTCAGTTTTAACCCTACATGACCTGGCCCATGTATACAGATGATGGTCTTATATTCAGTTTTAACCCTACATGACCTGGCCCATGTATCCAGGTGATGGTCTTACATGCAATTTTAACCCTACATGACCTGGCCCATATATCCAGGCAATGCTCTTACATTCAGTTTTATCCCTACACAGCCTGGCCCATGTATCCAGGTAACGCTCTTACATTCAGTTTTATCCCTACACGGTTGGACCCATGTAATGCTCTTACATTCAGTTTTATCCCTACACAGCCTGGCCCATGTATCCAGATAATGCTCTTATATTCAGTTTTATCCCTACACGGTTTGACTCATGTAATGCTCTTACATGCAGTTTTATCCATACACAGTGTGGCCCATGTATCCAAGTTATGGTCTTATATTCAGTTTTAACCCTACATGACCTGGCCCATGTATCCAGGTGGTGGTCTTATATGCAGTTTTAACCCTACATGATCTGG